GGTGGAGTTATACGGAAGACTACTAATAAATGCAGATTTTACTAGTATTTTACCTTAGTTTTTAATACATTTCATATGAAAAACATGATGGAGAAAGCTGGAAAACTCATAAAAATAATAGAATGTTCAATTCATTTCTAAATAGTTTAATTTTTTAGATTTTGTGAATTTTCTATGTAAAAAGTACTGATTAGAACCTATTTTGCAAAAAACTCTGAGTTGAGATCATAAGGTTGGAGGATTAAGCGAGAAAGTTGAAGAAAGTACCAAAAATTGGAATCAAGGAATAAGGTTTAGTGAAGCAAGAGCTGGGCATGATCACTTTTCCTGGCAAAAGTGATTGTTCCAAAGCCTAACATTAAAGGATGACCTGTTCTTCTACAAGAGCTCTTCTTCTTCTACTCTTTCTCTTTCTTTTTCTTTTAGGAACATGTTCTAATTTCTTTTTCTTATGGATTGAAAGATCCAATTTTGATATTGTAAATTGATTGTGGATCTGGATTTTAAGATCTTGATTGTATTGAATGTTTAATTCTTTTCTTAATGCAATTCTTGAATTAGCTATTCAATTGAATTGAACCTAGAGGATTTTCATCAATGGAAGTTGAGTTAATTTCTCATATCTGAATTGAATGTCAAGGTTATAGATATCTTAGGGATAAGAATTTGTGATCTTATTATAATCTCTTAATTTCTCATACTTAATGTAATGTTTGATTAATTTACATCTAAGGAATTAGGGTAGTTAATTGAATATTAGGATCATTGAGGCAAGAGATTGTCCTTTGATTTAATAAGTGAAATTGATTATCAATCAATTAAGGAACTTAGATTTCAGATCTACTTCAGTTTTGCAATTGACAGAGCTGAAATCAGTCCTAACTCAATTCATATATCATTTCATTTCTAAATTTGTCACTATATTTTGTTGTTATGTTCTGATTTCTACAGTTTATTGCTTTTGTTCTTAAATGATTCAAAACACTCCAAATTTTGTTTAGCTCAACTAGTTATTGATTTATGAAGTGGTAATTGATAGAACTAATCCCTGAGGACGATACTTGGGACTCAAACTGAATTCCAAATTTTATTACTTGCTACAACTACTTAGTACACTTGCTAGTTAGTGTTCTCTTAGCTTTGTGACAAGGTTTTGGCACCGTTGCCAGGGATTATTTACTTTCAATATCATTAGTAGTAGAGAGATAGCTAGATTGAGCATTTCTTTTTGTTGTTTTGCATCCAAAATTTTCTATATATTGGCTAAATTTTCTGCATAATTTTTTTTCTGTATTTTGTGTAGTTTTTGCACTATTTTCTGTTGTTTGCTGCATTACTTCATTCTGCATTTTGCTGGATGGTTGTTTAATTTTTCTGCATAATTCAATTTCATTTCTACATTTTATTATTTTTTGCAGAAATTCTGCATTGATTTTGGTGTTTTTTGCATAATTTTTTTTGTATTCTTTTGCATTTTCTGCATAATTTTGTTTTTCATTCTTTTGCATAATTGTAATTTTCATTCTGCTTAATTTTCTATGTTTTTTACATGTTTAATTTGTAGTTTTTTGCATCATTTTTTGTTGAATTCTGCATGATTTTGTTTTGCATTTTTCTGCATAACTGTCTAATTTCTCTACATAATGCATTGTTGTTTCTGGATTTAGTTGTACTTTTCTGCAATGTTTTGCAATAATTTTTTGCATAATTCATTCTTACTTCTTCATAATTTTCTAACTTCATTTATATTTTGTTTACTTTCTTTTTGTATACAAGGTAAAACCAAAAATAAAGTTGCTCGATTGTTTGATCTAGATATAGCAAGGCTCTTCAGCAATTGAAGAATGTAGCAAAGGCAAGGAAGTTGCAAAAGAAAGTGCAGAAGATAACATCCACTTTTGAAGAACCGAGTGTGAACCAATCACTAGCAAAGGAGAACAATCTGGCTGAAAATAACATGACAAGGACCTTGGGAGATTATGCCATTCCAACTACGCATAATTTTAATTCAAGTATTGGTAGACCAACAATTGAAGCCAACAATTTTGAGATCAAACCTGCATTGATAAAATTAGTACAACAAGATCAATTCTCTGGAAATGTTTTAGATGATCCCAATCTGCATCTCTATAATTTTTTGCAACTATGTGACACCATTCATATCAATGGTGTAAATGAAGATGCTATCCGCTTGAGATTATTTCCCTTTTCTCTTAGGGACAAGGCTAAATATTGGCTTCAAACTCAACCACAAAGAAGCATCACTACTTGGGCTGACTTAGTGAACAAATTTCTAACTAAGTACTTTCCATCATCAAAATCTGCCAAGCTGCGAAGTGAAATCACCTCTTTTGTTCAACAAGATGGTGAATCTCTTTATGATGCATGAGAAAGATATAAGGATCTACTAAGAAGATGTCCTCATCATTGCATTCTAGAGTGGATGCAAATCCAAACTTTCTACAATGGGATGAATGTTGTCAGAAGAACCATGGTAGATGCAGTAGCTGAAGGTTCATTGAATACTAAAACTGTAGAGGAAGCTCAGCAACTAATTGACATGATGGCAACTAGCATGTGTCAGAATTTCAGTGAGCGACATGTTGCAAGTAAGGGAGAATTTGAAGCAAAGGCACTTGAGACTTTGATCAGCCAAAATCAATTACTTTTTGAACAACTTGCAGCCTTGACTCAACAAATCAATACTTTTCAAGCTGGAGTTGCAAAAACAAGCTACTTGATATGTGATTTTTGTGGAGGAAATCATATGAATGGAGCATGTGATGTATGTACACTAGAACATCAAGAACATATTAATTACTTAAGTGATTTTCAGAGGTCTCAACTTGCATTCCATTCTGATTTTCAATATCAAGCCAATAAAAGTCAACCATATTATCAATGGAATCAACAAAGTTCTACAATAAAAAGTGATATTGCAACAACTCCATTGTCCTATGCCTATTTTTAGCCTCCATGGTCATATTATCAAGCTTATTCATCTCAACCTCTAAGAGAGCCACAATTTTCAAAACCTTTGTCTGAAAGGATGAATGAAATAGAGGAAACACTGCTACAATTTATGGAAGTTACACAGTCCAACTTAAAAAATCAAGAGGAATCTATGAAGAAGTTAGAGACTCAAATAGAACAAATTTCACAGCAATTAGCACATAGGGATGAGGATAGATTATCTAGCAATACTATTGTGAATCCAAGGAAGCAATGCCATGCCGTCATATTAAGAAGTGGAGCAGAGGTTTCTAATCTAAAAGATGAGGAGAAAAAGATAGCTACAAAGAATGCTGAAGAAAAAGCTCAAGATAGCTTGCAAAGAGGGAAATTCATTCTTTTAAGTAAAGAAAATTTAGAGAACAATAACTGCACTAAACTAGAAGGAAGAACCAACAAAAAAGAAGAAGAGAATGATCATTCTATTATAAGTGAAGTTTTTGCTGCAGTGGCATATCAAGCTGATAAAGAGGAGGAAAATAAGCTTAATGAATATATCAAACTGTTGGAAGTCCCTCCACTTTTATTTCTTTCAAGTCCTAAATTAAATGAAGAGTTGTAAGTTAGTGAGAAAAAAGGAAAACGTTTAAAGATAGAGCAAGAGCCATTATCATCAAAATCATCTCTTAGAACCAAAGATCAATAGGCGTCAAGCTAGTGACGTTAAAAGAGCGCTTTGTGAGAGACAACTCACACTTCTTTCCCTTTCATTTCTTTTCAATTTTTGGTTTTTAGTTTTATTTTTCTGCACGATCTGAGTTTCTGGTTGCTTTGCAATTGCTTTTGGCTGTGAAAGTATCAACATACAAGAAAGTTTCCAGATGTAGCTTGCTGTGGTTTGCTGGAATAACACCTTTGATGTAAAGGGGAGTTATTTCTTTCTTTACCTCTTGATTTATATGCTGAATTATGTCATATTTCTTGCTAAAGTAAACAAAGAAAAAAAAATGTATATGTTCATAATTATTTGTGCATTACGTTCCTTTCTCCATTTGTGATGAATAATTCAAATTCTTATTCCATTTCTTTGTTTCTAAATTTTAAGTAAATATTATGTTTGTGTACTTCTTCATATGATTGTCACACTTCAAAAATAAAGAGATTTTTACCATTTGTGCATATGGATTTGTAAGGTGAATTGTGAACATGATTGATTGATATTGTCACCTTTATTCCAATGGTAAGAATTTGAGCTTTGCAGAATATATTCTTTCATGTATGATTGATCTTGATTTTGCTGCACCCTCTAGAACTTACTTTGTTTCTTGATTGAATATGCAATTTTACAGTTATCACATATATGATAGAGGCCTTCTTTGATTGTGCCTAGTTAGCCTAAATGAACCTCCTTTTGTGCTTGAATGTCCTAGTTCAACCCTTTGAGCTTAATATCCCTTCCTTGATTTTTCCTCATTACAAACTTTGATGAAAAACCATTTTAACCTTCCAAAGTAAAAGAGGCATATTGAGTCTAATCAAGGATGAGTTTAAAACTAAGTTTGGGGTGATATCTAGATTTTATTTGCTTAAGGACAAGCAATGTTCTAAGTTTGGGGTGGAGAATAGCAAAGCTATCTAAGTTTTGGTGTCAAAACAAAAGAAATAAACAGCAAAGTTATAAGTTCAAAAGAAAGATATGCTACAAAGTGTTGCAAAAAAAAATTAATTAATGAAAGGAATGAAAAGAAAATAGTGAATGAAAGTAAGAAAAGAAAATTTGAAATTCTGCTGCATGACTGAACATTGTTGTTGATCTGAAAAAAATTCTGTTTGCTGCATAATGACGGAATTATTGAAAAATAATGCAGTTCCATGCTAGTTTTAAGTTTATTCACTCAAAATGTCTCTTTTCTTTTGGAATTGCATATATTGTTTCCCATTTTGTTTAATACTTACCTTAACCTTAGCCCTATTATAACCTGAAAAAGGTCCTCTTGATGTGTGATTGACTGTATTAAGCAAAGAAGATTGAGAATATAGACAAGCATATGGTAGGGTGAGGTAAAATTAATGATCTTGAGGGTAAACACTCACCTTAAACACTTATGAGTGAGAGGGAAACACTTTCTTGTGAGTGATAATGATATCTTTCATTGATGTTTCACATGTAACTTTGTTGTTCATTAGCTTAGATTTGTAAGATTTTGCATAAAAAGATTTGTTTGAGTATGACTTTCATTGTAATTGAATGCATGAATGATTTGTTGAAAGGATAATTGGAAGGAATGATGTGGAATAAAGAAATTTGTACAAACTGAAAATAAAGTCTGTGTAAAAAGATTTTCATTATTGTTTTGATGATGCATTGAATTCCCCTTGGTGTGTTCTGGTTTGCTTGAGGACAAGCAAAAATCTAAGTTTAGGGTGGCTGCACTGTTAGGACTTTGATTAATTTTGAAATTTGTAGTAATTTTAATTTAGTTTTCATTCAAAGTTGACAAGAATATGTAACAATTTCTATGTTAATTATTGTGAATTTATAATATTTTGATAAGTCTTGTTGTAAATAATAATTTGAAGTGTAATTAACTACTTTTAATTTGTAGTTTCCATTTAATTTTACATAGAAATTTACTCTACTGAAAGGTAGTGTTGTTCATTTATTTTTATTTTTTTATAAGCATATAATATGAATTAAATAAATTACCTAGATATAAATTTTTAATTTTTACTCTATTTATAAATTTAAAATTTCAAAATTATTTCTTGTAGTAGTTTGAATATCTTTTAATTTTCATAAACTGAATAAAAGAAATGTAAGTTCTATATTTTCTTCAACTCTTTAAGCTATAAACAAAAATAAATTTACTTCATTTTCCTTCTTCATTATAAATTATTATTTATATGGAATAAGAATTTAAGGATGTTACAAATAAATTTTATTTACTAATTTAGTATTTAATAAATATCTTTATGTTAAAAATAAAGTAAAATCATAAAAAATACAATTTTAATTTACAAGAAGATGACTTAATATTAAAATTTAAACTTTTAATTATGAAAATTATATATATATATATATATATATATATAAAAGATAATAACAATTAAATTTATAATTTTCAAGCATGTATAATATAAAACTATAATTATCTAATACATATATACATGTGAATAACAATTTTGTAAAGTATAATCTTAACTCATTTAAATAATCAAGTGAAATTTAAAGTGTGAGCATGTTTGTTTAGCTAACTTGAAGGAGCATTTAGCCATCCAAGCTTAAAAACTGCATGAGAAGTTAGCAAAACCTTATTTCTTCCCGTCCCCCAAAACCATGAATTTAGGCAAAAGGTAAACTTGGGTTGAATTAAGGTTAAAATGGTGAATAAAAGAAAGTACCAAGTAAAGAGGAAGTGAAGGTAATTTGGGTTGAAAACCAACGGGCCTAAGAACATTGGATTAATGACAACTTTATTATTTAATTGAGTCAAGAAAATTTGGGTCCAAAAGAAAAGAAATAATGGTTTGGGGTCTTATAACTCAAAGGAATTAAAACTCAAACCCAAAGAGATTAAATAAATCCACTCTAGATAGTCCAGCACAAAATTGTACATAGTTAATAAACGATTTTAATTAGTTGATAGTAAAATCTGATGATAAAACGTTTATTTGATAACAACTTCACTGTTGGGGACTTGGCTTGGGCATTCAACAACGAGCATATAAAAGAATATTTAAAATTTGGGTATTTTGGTTTAATGTAAACAATGTTCTCATGCATTGCTTTCTGTTAATTAGACGGTAGATGATTATAGGTGCTGCGGAATAATAGTCTTCACAGCGTAGGTGTCTTCCATTGTTGTTTACTATTGGGGAAGTGGAGAAAGATGTGGGGCTTTATGAAAAGCAATATCTAGAAACATTCATTTTTTTCTTCTATCAATTAAGCTTAGAAGGTGAGAATATTTTAGGGGGGGACCTACTCACAATTTTTCCTTTATAATTAAAACAATAAAATAAAATAAAATAAGGACTTGATTGTTTCTCTTTTAGTTTTTAATTTTTAAAAAATATTTTAAAACAATTTTAAAAAAACTGTTTTTAAGAAGAAAATGAAATTAAAACTTATATTAACAAGCAAATTTTATTATTTTTACTTTTAAAACGAAAAAATTATTTTTAAAAATAGAAAACAAACAAGCTCTAATTTTCTTTTTCTTTTTTTTTTTCTTACAATCTTCAACCCAACTAATAGGTGTGTCAACGTTTTGATTTCAAAGAGATATGTTAAAACACTGTAAAATAGTTATTTCATTTCAGTTGATTTTTTAAAGAATTTTGAGTGCTTACTAAAGTTGAATGATCTTCTTTAGTTGTTTAATTTATTTATTTTTTCATCACTACCTTGTTGAAAAAAAATTGGTTCATGAGTGTTATAATTTGCTGGAAACCAAACCTTCTTTCTTACATATTTTTTTTTTTCATTTTAAAGTATAATTTTACAATATATAATCTCTCTTTATACAATATTAAGGTAAGTTTTTTTTATCAGAAGTGTTGTCCCAATTTTTTTATAATAACTTTTTTATAACTCAAGCGCATGAGAAGAATTCAACTCAAATAGTCTATATTAAATAGGAGAGCCATGAGTTTACAACCATATTAAAGTTCTATTTCCAATCAATGTTACACACATAATATTATCACCCTTTTAATAGACGATTTCTAGAGATTGTTGACAACCTTAATTTTATGTAAGTATTTAGTATATCACACTTTAAACTCTAGCCTAGTAATTTTTTAAGTGAAAGAAGCTTATGATTAAGTATCATGTTAGGCTTCTTATTCTATTTAAGGTGATATTTATAACATTACCGCCTTTTAAATAGTTATTGTTCACATTTACTTCACTCTAAGTGTATTGAGTTGATAATAGTCATTTCCTTCAATAAAATCATCAATGATTATAGCTTAACCAAGTGAGGAAAGTCATATGCAAAAATCTTGTTCAATAGATGGGAGAGCTCCATGACTTAAGTATCTCTTGAAATGGTTAGTCTAAATATAAAACTCATAATATATTATTTCATTATCCTATATTATTTAGTATTTTTAGTTATCAAATGTGACATTCTCATATTTTATTACATAACCTTTAATTTCACGCGAGATTTTAAGTTTTATAATGAAGATATAAATCTTTTTATTAAATTTGAATGATGCATGTTTATAGCATATAATATTTAGAACACTTCCATTTTGTCCATCTTGCTTAATCATGTAGCTTGCATCTCTCTCGAATAATGGGCACTAAAAATGATAAAACATAAAAAAATATACAAATCTAGAATATCATATAATTATTTATTTGAATAAAAAGGCACAGCCCTTGGTACAATGACACCATATCACCACTATCATCACTGCCTTTTGCCATTTTCTTCAAGGAATAAAGGAGTATTATTTTTCAAAAGGGAGTGGATTTAGGAAAAACTTTCACACCGTGCAAAAGCCTAAAATATAAAAGGGGATGATGTGTCCACATAGATATAGGAAACAACACCAAATTTGGGAAGCACAGAACTCCAAGAAGCTCTCCTTCCACCACTTAGCAGCTTGCCGATGCCCCCCAAAGTGAAAAGAAAAAAAAGAAAAGAAAAATGAAGAGAGAGAGAAAGGACGTACACAACAGAATAAAACCATATAAAGCCTAAAAAGCAAAAATCCATAAAATTATTCCACTTCTATGAAGCAAAGTGTTTGAGAGGTACATCGAAGTCCAAAGCCACCCACATCACTTCCTTTGTTTCCTTCCTACCCACCTAAGCCAAACCCATTTCTTACAAATGGAAAATGGAAAAACCGCAAGGAAAGAAAAAAAGAAAGCACATCTAAATACCAAAATTCCCCTCACAACTTAGCTCTTTCTTTCTCTTTCTTTTCCTTTTGCTTCCTTCAGCTACTTTCCCTCTTTCTCTCTCTAAAATCCAATCTCTCTCTAGAGCTCCTTCATCGTGAGCTTAATTGATCACTTGGTTGCAGCTTAGTAATCTCTCTCCCAAGTGCTTTCCCTTACTTCATCCCATGGATCTACCACTCGCACCCCTCACCACTTATAATTCCCCATAGAGAAGATCCTCTCAGCTCAAATTCGGATCAAAGCAGTTCTGGCACTAAGATAGCAGAACGTAAGAGAGAGAGAGAGAGAATTGAAGAAGAGAAGAAGAGAAGAAAAATGAAAATCCCTTGTTGTTCGGTTTGCCAAACGCGGTACAACGAGGAGGAACGTGTTCCACTTCTGCTCCAATGCGGCCACGGCTTCTGCAGAGACTGCCTTTCTAAAATGTTCTCGGAATCGCTGGACGCCACGCTAGCGTGTCCCCGCTGCCGCCACGTGTCTACCGTCGGCAACTCCGTGCAGGCTCTGCGCAAGAACTACGCGGTGCTCGCGCTCATCCACTCCGCCGCCGCGAACAGCGGCGGAGGCGGCGGTGGAGGAGCGAACTTCGATTGCGACTTCACCGACGAGGAGGAGGAGGAGGACGGCGCCGTGGAAGACGGCGATGAGGATGACGAGAAGCGGCGCCGGAACAGCCGCGGATCGCAGGCGTCGAGCTCCGGCGGATGCGAGCCGGTGATCGAGGTAGGAGCGCACCAGGACCTGAAGCTGGTTAGGCGGATTGGGGAGGGTAGGAGGGCCGGCGTGGAGATGTGGATGGCGGTGATCGGCGGCGGGGACGGTGGTCGGCGGTGCCGGCACAACGTAGCGGTGAAGAAGGTGGCGGTGGTGGAGGGGATGGATTTGGATTGGGTGCAGGGGAAGTTGGAGGATTTGCGTAGGGCTTCGATGTGGTGTAGAAATGTGTGCACTTTCCACGGAACAATGAGGGTGGATGAGAGTTTGTGCCTTGTGATGGATAGGTGTTATGGATCGGTTCAGTCTGAGATGCAGCGTAATGAGGGGAGGCTCACTTTGGAGCAAGTCCTAAGGTTTTGGATTTTCTTTTCTTTTAAATTGTGTTTTGTGTTTCTGTGTTCAGATTTAGTTTTTTCTTCTCACTTGGCTCTTTTTCTGATTAGTCTTGTTGCAAGAAGTTTATTTGAACTGGTAGTTACTAGTAAGTTGCCAGAAAGAAGCATGGTGATTATATGTTTGATTAGTTTAGTTTATCTTATTTGTTTGATGAGTAATCGTGATTTTAAATCGTGGCTGCTGAAGTCACAGTTGCATTGTAGCTGCTATGATGTACGTTGGGGTTGCAAAATGGAATTTACCCTGCTATTCTTAAGTCTTGATATGTTGTTGTCTATCCAAGAAGTGATGGGGTCTGCAATTTGAAAACATGATCAGTGTTATAGCAATTTTACTGATAAGTAGGAAACACTGCATTCTGGTTACGATATGGGGAAAATGCATTGAAATTGTCTCTTCCAATGCTCTGATGGAAACTCTGTCTGCATAATGATCCCCTAGGTTGGACTAGATGAGAATGGTTTGTTCAGTGTCTAAACTTTATCATTTTACTTCTGCTTAGGTATTTTCTTGTTATAGCGATTTTACTCGTATGAGTAGGCTGCACTGTGTCCAGGTTAAAATTTGGAGAAAATGCAATGTTATTACATCTCTGCCTGTCATTGACTACTAAATATTTGGAGGGAGATATCGTCTGTGTTTATCTAGGCTACCTATGTACTTTCTTGTTGGCTAGGCAAACAGAGAAATAGTTGAATACTTCCTGTGAAATTTTTTCGAAAAGATTTGCGGAATAATTTCATTCTTTGATTTAAAATCATTTTAATGAAACATATTGGTATTGCATTTCAATTGCCCACAACAACTATGAATAGTGACATTAAAATTTGCCAATTGTAGATATGGGGCAGACATTGCACGAGGGGTTGTTGAACTTCATGCTGCAGGTGTTGTTTGCATGAATTTAAAACCTTCCAATCTTCTTCTTGATGCAAATGGTCATGCTGTGGTTTCTGATTATGGACTTGCTACAATTCTGAAGAAACCTTCCTGTTGGAAGGCTCGACCAGAGTGTGACTCCTCAAAGATCCATTCCTGTATGGAGTGTATAATGCTCAGCCCACATTATACAGCACCAGAGGCTTGGGAACCTGTGAAGAAGTCATTAAATTTGTTTTGGGATGATGGAATAGGTATATCTTCCGAATCAGATGCCTGGAGTTTTGGTTGTACATTGGTGGAGATGTGCACGGGTTCCATTCCGTACGTGGAGCAACTCATTCTAACTCAAGCTTTCTTCCTTTTGTTCTTCCCTTTGTTTCAATTTTCTTAATGCAAAATCTATGCTTGTGCAGTTGGGCAGGTTTAAGTGCTGAGGAAATCTATCGAGCTGCTGTTAAGGCTAAGAAACTACCTCCACAATATGCTAGTGTAGTTGGTGGTGGAATTCCAAGGGAATTGTGGAAGATGATCGGGGAGTGCTTGCAATTCAAGCCATCTAAAAGGCCTACTTTTAGTGCAATGCTGGCAATATTTCTCCGTCATTTGCAGGAAATACCACGCAGCCCTCCTGCAAGCCCTGATAAGTAAGTATGTTAAAGTTATTATTATAACCATGACTGCATCTTCTGTGTGGGTTTTGACTGCATTTGATTTAGAAGGCTACTTATGGAATTTAGTATGCGAATGAGGACTTTATTGGGAATGAATGAGCCAAATGCGCAGTTGTCATTGATGTTTAACAAACAGCACTTGTCTTATACAATATTATACATTTCTGTGGATACAGTGACTTAGTTAAGGGTTCTGTATCAAATGTTACGGAGCCTTCCACAGTACCTGAATTGGAAGTTCCTCAGGAAAACCCAAACCATCTTCATCGGCTTGTGACTGAAGGAGATGTCGCAGGTGTTAGGTTAGTCGGTATCACAACTTTTTGTCTGAGCTTGCCTTTACTTATATTTGATCATTTCATTCATTTTCTATGTATTTCTTGTACAGAGATCTTCTTGCAAAGGCTGCATCAGAAAATGGAAGCAATTACATATCTTCTCTATTGGAAGCTCAAAATGCCGATGGAACAGCTCTCCACTTAGCTTGTAGACGTGGTAGTGCAGAACTTGTTGAGACAATTCTGGAGTATAGAGAGGCAAATGTTGATGTATTGGACAAAGATGGAGATCCTCCTCTTGTTTTTGCATTAGCTGCTGGGTCCCCTGAATGTGTTTGTAGCCTTATCAAAAGAAACGCTAATGTACGGTCACGATTGAGAGATGGATTTGGCCCATCGGTAGCTCATGTTTGTGCCTATCATGGCCAACCAGATTGTATGCGAGTATGTTTTACTTAAATTATGCTTAGATGTTTCTTCTTTATTAGAGCTATTCATCTGGAATATATGTGGCCAAATAACAGGAGTTATTGTTAGCTGGAGCTGATCCTAATGCAGTGGATGATGAAGGTGAATCTGTTCTGCATAGAGCAGTTGCCAAGAAGTACACAGACTGTGCTCTTGTGATATTGGAGAATGGAGGTTGTAGATCAATGGCAATCTTGAATTCAAAGAATCTGACGTGAGTATTGACTTGGATTCAGAATTTTTTATAGCATAGAATTTGTTTGCCTAGTGTGTCAATCAGTATATAGAGGTATAAATAATTGATATTAATTAACCATTGGGAAATGAATTGACAGCTTATATTATACAGCTTACATGTTATACTAGAAAAAAATATTTGTTGAAGTTGTCATTTTATCATGATTTAAGCTTCACATTTACCGCTTTCTTCTGGTTGATTACAATGCACAACCTTTTCACTCCTTTGCAATTTGCTTGGGATAGCAGTGTAGCACCTTCATCTTGAAAGATGCAGCTAGCCTGTTGAGTTGCTATGAACTATTTTTATTATTTCTTAGCCACTTGTTTAATTGAAAACATTTAAGGAAGTAAATAAGATGATATATTTCTGTAAGTCCATTTTTTACTTTTAATCTTCATTTTTAGCTCAATTATTGATTGAAGTCGATGAGGTTGAAGCTTGTTACTTGGATGTATCCTTGGATATTATGCATGTATCTTTAGATGATAGTTTTGTGCTTTTCACTTTACAGCAGAATATTTCTAAACTATCCTATTGTCCATGGGAAAACCAAAGACGAGAGGAAGCAAGTCATTCCTGTTTGAACCAATTCTTTGTCCTTATTTGAATTGTAAAGGTCATAAATTGTTTTCATCTTTTCGAGTAAAGATTCTGTTTCTTAATCCTTTCAATGGTTACAAGGATTAATTAGGTAAAATACTACTGGATTCCAAACGTTCTTTCAAAGGATCAATCTAACTTAATCTGATATTTTAACTATACTCATAATCTGGGAATCACATTTCTTTATTTCTTATTATGTCTTGGAATTTCAGATTATAAAATGTAGGATGGTTTTGTTCCATAGTTACTATATTATAAAGGAAATTTTTTTAACGTGTGATTTTCTATATAATTGAACCCTGCATACTAGTAGATAAGGGTTAGCTATTATTGTTTATTTCATTTATTATGATGAAATGATATTTTTCCAACACATGCATATCTAATCAATTTATCATATGGTTTTTCTCTGGTGTTGCAGACCACTGCACTTGTGTGTGGCAACATGGAATGTTACTGTGGTGAAGAGATGGGTGGAAGTTGCAACTCCTGATGAGATAGCTGAAGCAATTGACATACCAAGTCCTATTGGCACTGCCTTGTGCATGGCAGCTGCTTCTAAGAAAGACCATGAAAGTGGTATTCCAAACTTCATGCTTAATAATGATTTTTACAATTGGCTACTTTTTGGTTGAGGTCTGAAATTTTCTTTTATTTACTGCATCTAGAAATCCTTCAATATTAATCATATATGAATCTCAAAATGGTTTTGATAGAATTGATCCCAAGTACTTGAAACTAGAAACTTGTGGTATAATATTATTTCCAATTTTAACTTCCAACAGATGATTCTCATTTTATTTTTTACTAAACTTAAAATGCATATACGTTGTCTTACTTCTACTCAAGCGAAAACCCTTAGATTCTACGGTCTCCCTCCATAACTCAATTTAGCATTAACCTCTTCTTTCAAATCTTCAACCACCACTATATCATTTGCAAAGAGCATGAGGGATAATATTTTGTATGTTACTTGTAAGCACATCTAAGACTAGATTAAACAAGTAAGAGCTTAAAGCGGAGCCTTGATGACTTAAAATGTTTAGAATATTTTATAATATATTGTGAAATCAATTAATCCTCTAATTAAGAAGCAATATAAAAGTTTATTCCCCATTATTCGTAGATCTTAATTCATTGTGTTCCTTATATTGTTTCCTTATTTAATTAGGGGTAAGAATTTCATTGTATGAGGGGGGTTTGGGAACAACTTAGTTCCTAGAACTAATTGCTTATTTTTTTAAAAGCTCTCTCAATAAACTGATAAAAATAAGCAATTATTTGTTCAGAAGAAGCTAAACCAAGCACACACTTACTAGTGTACTTGATGTAACCCTGCTTAAATCAGTGTTTGCACTTTGTACTTTTTACATGCATTTCAAATTGTTCTCATTTTATATTAGAAAATAAAGCAACACTTTAGCAGTTAATTCTTACTAATTTAAAAGCTGAAGTGCCATTACAGTGACAAATAAATCCTTCCTTCTTTCTATTTTAAAAGCTGAAGTGTGATATGTAGTAGCAAGGTAGTTAAAATCCCAATTTAAATTGTAAAATCCTACAACTTTACGATTTTGGAAGTCTCACCGATTTAAACTGTGGATAAAATTCTGGTTGAGTAAATCGCTGTAAAATCCCGATTTAAATCGTAAAATCCCTCAAATAGTGGGATTTCGCGATTTCAATTGGATTTTGAAAATTCCTTGCAAAGCCTCTTTTGTTAAAACCTATCGTAGTTGATGCCTCTTTCATATATATCCTTTTTATGGAATCCAATTTGCCTCTAGCAGTTTTGAACCCTAACATTGTTGTCAACATTCAACAGTCCTCCTAGTGCTTGCAGCCTGGTCTGCAACTAAACCCAGCAATGTGCTTCTGCTCTGAGTTCAAGTCTAGTGCTGCTGTTCTTGCATCTTTTCTATTCTGGTCTATTTTTTACTCACGTCCATGCATTACATTCTTATGGAATAGATTATGATTTGTGAGTGCTACTTTGTTTAAGTGCTTTTATTGATTTGAAGGTTTTTCCCCCCTAATTTATGATATTTTATATGAATAATATGAATTTATATCATATATATGAATTTTATAAAATCCTACAATTCAATTTACGATTTTCACTCTTCTTTACGATTTAAAGTAAAATCCCGATTTTAACTACCTTGTGTAGTAGAGGTAAGGATTTATTTGTTACTTTAACATGATAATTCTGTTCACATGCATTTGAGTGGAAACATTGGAATATCACCTCTAGGTTAGATTGTTTAATTAAAAGCTCATTTTGATCATAATTGAAATATCTGCTTGAGTTTGATGACTCAATACTGTTCTTTTGAATCCCTTTCATCTTGAAATCAACACTTCAAATTTGAGAGTTAATACATGGATATTTTTAATATCATTTATGCTGTTTCTTTATTCTCTTTAGTGAAATAGTTGAATTATCTGATCCTGTTTGTTCATGCCAAATATAGAAGGGAGAGAACTGGTGCGGATATTGCTGGCAGCAGGAGCTGATCCATCTGCTCAAGATTCACAGAATGGGAGGACAGCTTTGCATACAGCTGCTATGTTAAATGATGTGGACTTGGTTAAGGTAAGTGAGTGAACTGCTTTTAGAATGATTAAGTATCCATAAATAATTATTTAATGCTGAAATATGGACAATTTGTTCTTTATTGTAATGTTTTGGGTGTCTTGAGTAGGTTATTCTTGCTGCTGGTGTTGATGTGAACATTCGTAATATGCACAACAGTATACCTCTTCACTTGGCCTTAGCTAGGGGTGCAAAGGCATGCGTTGGGCTGCTTCTGGCTGCTGGGGCAGATTATAATTGGCAGGTTTTCATCCAAGTTTCCATTCCCCCTGCTTGATCACATATAAATATAATAATAATTATAATGATGTAGAAATTTTGAACAGCAGCAAAATTATTAAATATGGTTCTTTGCTCTGTGGTTTGTTCTTTTTTATTTTTTATTACTGATTTCTCACATTAATTGTAAAACGTTATGTTTATAATATTAGATTTTTATTATATGACTAATTGATTACTGAGTTCAGTGTCTGATGTAGCCACTCTTTATTATTGGTAATTTGAGCTGAATGATAATTTATACTGTTAAAGGTGGTTGGAAGGGTAACAAATCTAAGGAACATGATACCTACTAAAATTCAATTAATTGAGTAAGCTGGAGAGGACATAGAATGAATATTGAAAGTTTTTTGTAAGTTTACATAATTGACTTCTATTCTGAAATGAATTGTAATCTATTAATTTATATGTGGGTATATATTTGCTTCCGTGACATTGAAATGGTATTTATGTATTTCTTTGATTTGTTGTTCTCTTTATCTTATACATGTATTTGAGCCTTCTGCACTGGCTTTTGTTCATGAAAATAATAAGTGTGTGCACCTTATGTTTAGCTTAAATTTTATTTACTTAGTAGAAATAACTGTATGTGGACATATTCCATATCTTTTTGATGGAAACTTTTCCATTATGTCCTTGTCATTTAAGGATCTGGTGTAACTGTGTCAGGATGATGATGGTGACAATGCTTTCCATATAGCAGCAGATACAGCAAAAATGATACGTGAAAATCTTGACTGGCTTATTGTTATGCTAATGAATCCTGATGCTGATATTGAAGTCAGAAACCACAGGTAAGTCACTGCTATAGGCCCTGCATTATTGTTAAGTTGTAATTATTAGCTCTTAATTATCATGAACTTATATGAAAAACTATTGTTATAACTTTGGAACTGCATTTAACTGTTGGATCTTAGTCCAATTTAACCCATTAATCACATTAAACTCTATTTCGCTGCTCTGACTGATAGGGTTATGTTTTTATGATAGTGGCAAGACACTTCGTGACATATTAGAGGCTCTCCCTCGAGAATGGATATCTGAGGATCTGATGGAAGCACTCGTGAATAAAGGAGTTCATTTGTCTCCTACAATGTGAGCAGAAGACATCATTTTCTTCAGTGTATGATATTTATTATCTACCTATATTTAACTAATATGTTTAAAAATTTGTCTATTAATCATTGTTTATAGATTTGAAGTGGGAGACTGGGTGAAGTTTAAAAGAACTGTTGTAACACCAGCATATGGATGGCAAGGTGCTAGACCAAAGAGTGTTGGCTTTGTGCAAAGTGTTCCAGACAGAGATAATCTCATTGTTTCATTTTGTTCTGGAGAGGCTCATGTTTTGGCAAATGAAGTTGTAAAAGTTGTTCCATTGGACAGGGGACAACATGTACAACTGAAAGAAGATGTAAAAGAGCCTAGGTATGGTTTTGCATAACTGTTACACTAGTATGATTCACAGGGTAGAGAAATCACCACTAGTACGATCATCCTGGGTGAGGTCAACATTAGATTGATCGTCTGCAGAACACTAGAATTTTCATATATGTTGGGTTTGGATCATTATTCTCATTTTCTCCCCCTCAATGCTATGCTAAAATTTGAAGTGCCAAAGACTAACCAACACAATAACGTTGATAGACAGTTGAAATTCTAGGATTTCAGTGGCTGCAAAATGTAACCTGTCAATGGGGAAGTGGAAGAAAATTACTAAAACCTAAGGCATGTAGAAACAGACTAACAGTGTATATCAAACAAGATTTCCAAATAAACCTGACATTGGAATAATGTTGGGACAAGAAATATAATGATAGAAAATAAAGATATAAATTTAGTGTAAAAAAATAAAATGATATTAGGTAGAAAAGAATAATGGTAAATATAATGGGATTAAAGACAAATATAATAAATTAGTATACTTATACTTTAGGTTTAGGGTGAAAAATAAAAGTAAAAGTGTAATGGTAAAAAAATCTAAATTGTTTATTATAATTTAATTTATATTTTGGGGATGAAAATGAGAAAGAGGAGGTATGTGAGTTTTTAATTAGTTGCTTTAATCCTAGACATTTATTTTAGCCTATGGTTGAGAATAATTTCTCATTTCTCAAATAAGAAAGTCATTCTCACATGATACATCTATATAATAACAATTTTTTTAACATGTCCAATGACACACAATAAGAACTTGTACACATAGTAGTCAATCTTGGATAGAGGATCGGAGCGGCCAACTTCAAAAACGCTATAGCAAGGATAGCGGTAGCAGGACGACTGCTATTCTAAAGTTTTAATACACACACATACATGCTGAAAAATATAAAATTAATATACAAATTTGGAACAAAGCAAAAAAGGAAAACTCAAATTAGAGAAAGAAATAAATAACAAACAGCAAAGGGTGCAGGAGCAGCCATTGCTTCTACTTGAAACTTTGAAATTTGAAACAGAACAGAGTAGGGGAATCAAAACAAAGAAGGAAATAAAAAAAAACAGAAGAAAAATAGAAAAAAAAAATGTTCAGTCACCGAAAAATGTGCAGTTTGTTGGAGATGGAGAAGATGATTGAAAAGTGTTTGGGTGATGTCGGAAGCTTGATTGAGCTTGAAGAAGACAACAAGAGATGAAGAAAATGACTCAAAATAATTTGAGTCACATTAGGGGCTTCACCGGAGACGAAGAAGATGATCGGAAAATGTCTCTTTCTTGTTACAAGTCTCATCGGAGATGAAGGCCATACTCCAGCGGTGGAAACAGAGATAACAGAAATGAAATGAAAGGAGAAATGAAAGGAGAGCTGAGGAGAGAGTTGAGAGGTGAGTTGAGGGGCTAGGGTTTGCGAGAGGGAGGAAGAAGATTCAGAAAATAAAAGGGGGGACGAAATCCCAAGATTGTCCCCCTTAAGAGCCCCCAAAGTTAAAAAACAGAGGGCAGATTTGGCTGCTATTCGCGGCACGACAGCCACGACACTGAACCACGACGCCATAGGGTTGCCATAGAGGTACTGTGTCGCTCTGCTGCGATAGCGACCACTATTGATAACTATGCTTGTACATAGTAAGTTTTTAACAAATTACACGATCTAATAAATTGAAAATCACACTAACATTAAATGTTACAATTTCTAATAAAATCTTACTATTTATTGATTTCTTATTGTGTATCCTTTTGTACACATTAGAAAATTTGATATAAAAAGATAAATTATACTACATATATGTAATATTAAATTTAAATTTTTTTATCATTATATATATGTAGAGGATGCAGGTAATTTGGTGTGGGTGCTATATAGTAACAATATCCATATAACAATAACAACTAAACCTTATCCTAATAAGTGAGATCGGCTACATAGATCATACGATGCTATCGAGTTCAATTAATAACTAAATTTTTAGAAATTTGATTAATTTAAATGTATTTTTTAATAACTTCGTCTTAGGTTAATTTGAGTCTCTCTCAACCCTTTTTATAAGACTAAGAATCATGCAATCCACACTCCTTACTGGTGCCCTCAAAGGTCTTTTCTACACATGATTAAACCACCTTAGATGATTTTTAGCCATATCTTCTACTATAAGTACTATTCTCCTGTATATTATCATTTCATATCTTGTCTTTTCTCTTATGTCCACTCATCCACCTTAACATTTTCCTTTCTTTCACTTCCACTCTCTTCTCATATTGTGGGTATTTATTTATACCTGTACCTAAATCCATTAAGCAGATATTATCATATATATTAGCTATTATACCCATTTCATCCTTATTGCTAATCCTAATCAAATAAGGGAATAGATAACTTAGTAAAGATATGATAAAATTCTTAAATAAGATAAAGTTCCTAGCAAGATAAAATCCGCAAAAAAGTAAGGCATAATTACTTCTAAAATAACAAACTAACTTAATATATTTTGAACCATTATTTTCCTCTAAGATATTATATAGATACTCTATAAATGACAACCAAAATAAGATTCAGAAAGAAACCATTTGCTGGGCACAAAAAGGGGTTGTACAGACATGCATATTCTATATAAGGTGATAATGTAAAGTTTTATGGCTGAAAGTTGCTACCAAGTGCATTGATCCCTGCTAGAAATTTGCACGTCCTCAAGGCTGCTTGTTTCTTTCGTCTCCCATAACACTATTGAAAACGAGCATTAATGCATGGACATTTTAAAATGACTTGTTTCTTTTTTTTGTTCTGTTGAGTCCTTACTTCCTAGTATTCAAAGATTTACTGTGAGTGTATGAAAATTAGACTGCCGGCCTTTGAACTTCTAGAACATGACACAAATGTCTAGAAGTAGAAATTTAATTGGTCTTTGAACTTGTAACAGACATCATTTATGTTAATTCATGAGGCAGAGGCAATCTTACCCTTCTTGAAAGTTGAGTAGTAAAATCTGGCTAACAGGAGACTAAATAAGATTCTGGATGAAAAGACACTGAAATAAAATGCTAGAGGACTCTAGTGACCGAGTGGTATCACCAACGTCCTGTGCTTCCATACAGCCCCAAGATATCATGGACTTTTGAAGGATGTCATTTGTGATTGATGTGCTGATATGTTTGGTGGCATTATCTTATTATTTTTAAAATCTTCCTTTTTGATGGATTTATTATGTTGTTATATATTCTCTTCTCAAATTAAACATTAATAGTCAAGCCTTATTCTACTAGGTGAAGTCGGCTATATGGATTATATAGTGCAATTGAGCTTAATAAAAAACTAAATTCTCTGAGATATTATTTATTGCTCGATCATTTTTAATAATTTTCTCTAAAGTTTTCTTTTGAGTTTTTCTCACTCCTTTTTACTACACTAAAAGTCATGTCATTCACTCTTCACTATTATTTCTAGTGATTTCACTGCATGTGTCTAAACCATCATAATCGATTTTGTCATTTTTTTTCATTATAAGTGCTACTCCAGTATTCTTGTGTATATAGTTATTTCATATATCTTTCTTGCGTAACTATGTTAGTCAAAATCGAGATTCTACGTGGGATCCAAGAGGGATAAAAGATCGTAACTCGTGGGATCGTAACACGGATAGTAAGATCCCACAAAATTGTATGTATACATATAAAACAGTATAAATATGAAGATGAGAGAAGCTAAATAAAGGCAGATACCCACTAAAACAGAGCAAAGATGGAGATGAGAGATGGGAAGAAGGAGGAAGATAAGTTAGGTAATGTATTCTGATGAGAAGACTATTTTACCCTTTAAAAAAACTTAAAACAGTGTCATTTTAAGGGTAAAAAAAGAAAAGTCAGTTTATTTTTAAAAAATAAAGTCTTTTTTACCCTTAAAAAACCCTAAAAGATAAACCCTGACAAGCAAAAACAGCCCCAACCACACTAACACTGAAAGAATCTAGAGAGAGAACAGCAGCAGCCTAGCATCAACAAGAGCAGGACGGAACAAGCTGTAGGTTGCAGAACAAAGCTTCGCAAGTCACAAAATGAAGCTTGGCAGGTTGTAGATCACAGTGTCGCCGAAACAAACCACAGTCGCTGGAGCAAAGCAAAACGGGGTTGTGTAAAGTGAAGCAGAATTGCCGAGCAGGGGAAGGAAGGAAGTTCTGAATAAATTTTGGGGATTTTAGCTTTTTAATAGGTTTTAAGCAAACCAGGTCAAAAAAATGCAGGTCGCAGGTCATTGGGGTTAAAAATTGGGTTTTCTCAGCATGCCAGGGTTGTTCGTGCTTACTGAATTTCCGGTCCAGCACGACAATCCCACCCGATCTTAGTGATTTGCGATTTTGAGAGCAAGCTAGTGATTTTGACTACTATTTATGTAATGTATTCTTATTTTTTCAACTCATTGTTTTTCTTGTATTGTTTATTGAAAGTCAAACATTCATTACCATATAAGGTAATTGATCGTATAACAGTACAATAAAACTTTTTTTTTCAACTTGATAGATATTTTATAATTACAAATAACTTCTGATATTTTTTTCTACTTTAACTACCTTATCTGTAATATGAGTAACATCTTCATTAATTTCTTCTTCATTTTGTAGAATTGATCCCAATTACTTAAAGATGGAAACTTATGATATTATATCTTTTCTAATTTTAACTTTTGGTGTATAATCATCATCTTGTTTTTTGCTAAAGTTACAATGCATATATTAAAAATTCATTTTACCCCCTTGAATGTTTGGTTATGTGCAATTTAGACCTTAACTTTTGAAAGTGTACAATGTGACACCCTGCACTTTTGAAAGTGTGCAAAGAAATTTTGCAACATTACATAGACATCTAATTTCTCTGTTTTTTGGACCAAAAATACCCCAAAAAATGTCTATCACTGCAGAAAGAGGAGAGATTAGGGATTTGGGAGTATTTTTGTCCAAGAAATGGAGAAATTGGATGTCTGAGAAACGCAAGGACTTCTTTGCACACTTTCAAAAGTATAAGGCGTTGCATTGCACATTTTTAAAAGTCAAGATCTAAATTGCACATGACCAAACATGTAAGAAGGTAAAGTGGATTTTTCCCAATATTTTATTTTACTTTTACCCAAGTGAAAATCTTTAGACTCTAAAGTATACATATCAAAAGCTTAAGTTTAAAAGTTAATTTCTTCTTTTGATTCCTTGATCAAGATTATGTCATTTGCAAAAGTCATACCCTTAGGATAATTGTTTTATCACTTGTAGACACATCTAAGACTTTGTCAAACAAATAATGTCTAACACAGAGCCCTAATGTAAACTTATCCATATAAGGAAGTTTTTAGATACATCTTCAGGATTTCTCAAACTTGTAGTTATCCTATCATCCATGTCTTGTATAGCTCAGATATATGTTAGTATGTTACACACCCCTTTCCTTTCTTAAGTCTTTCACAACATTTCTCTTGACATACGATCATATGCTTTTTCGAAGTGAGTAAAAACTATATATATATATATATTCTTTTCTTTTTTGCAGTTCTTTTCCATCAAATTTTGTAAAACTATCTAGCTGCTTTTGTAAACATTTTTGACATAAAACTAAATTGGTTTTCTACAATCTTAGTTTCTACTTAGTCTGTGCTCAATTACTTTTTTCCATAATTTAATATTGTAACACAAGGTTTATACCTCTGTAATTTGCACAATTCTAAATATCACCCTTGTTTAAAGTGGTCTTCCTCTACCCATTTGACATATTTTTAAATCTCAAAGTTTGAGTAGAATTTCCTTTCATTTTTTCTTTTGCACATTTCTTGTCATTAAAAGTTTATAGAAATAGTTTTTTCATCTGTCTTTGATGTTTTGATTAGTAGCCAAAACTTTTCTTCCTTCTCCTTAACATATTTAACTAGATCCAAATCTTTGAATTTTCTTTCCTTATTTTTAACAAGCTTATATATCTTTCATCATTTTTTATTTTAAGATTTTGATAGAACTTCTCAAAAGCCTTAAATTTTGCTTGACTCAGCCTTTTTTGTCTCAACTTTTGAAATTCTATACTTTGCCCAATTTTCTGCATTATTGCACACTTGCAAAGTTTTAAAACACTTCCTTATATCAGTAACCTTATGTTGCATACTTTTATTCCACCACCAGGATTCCTTATATTTTTGTCCAAAGCCTCTAAATACGCCCAAAATTATCTTAACAACTCTCATGACCTTCTTAGACATCTTGTTCCGAATAATTTTAACACTATCTTGTTCTTTCCAATTACCTTCTACTAACCACTTATAATTTAATTGTTTATCACCTTTAAGTACCCACCACTTGATTCATTGGTTTATAACTTGTCTAAGTTCTCTGTTTACACAATCTTAAAATGATCACCAAGGACCAGGACCTTATGTTGTGCAGGAAGGCTCTCTTAAAATTTCCTTGCAAAATTCTTTTATCTAGATTCTATACCTAAAAAGAAAATGATTTACAACCTTGAGACCTCACTCTTATAAGTGATAAGATGTTCCTCCCGCATCTTGAAACAAGTGTTATTTATCTTGAAGTCATATGTCATTGAGAAATCAAGAGATTGTCCTTCCTCATTAACCCTTCAAAACCAAAACCACCATGAACCTTGTAATTTGTCTTGCTTCACAACCAACATGACTGTTTAACTTTCCACCTATGATATCCTTTCAACTTATGGAATGCATTGAATCAAACCCAAGTATATGTTTTGATAAGTTTTACATTAGTTATTGAAGACCTAACACAACCCTCTTCATTTACTCGGTCTTGAGACCACCAGCTGTAGGACTATAGGAGGAGTTCTCTTAGATTAAAAAAAAAAAAAGATAAACATTATACTAGAGAGGGGAATGATAACATCAAAGCAACCTATGCTTGACTATCAAATTCTGTTAATTTGTGCCTTGTGCTTATCCTTGATGATTTTGCATTTGCCCTAAATATTGATGGCTATTTTTCTATGCTAGATTTGGTTGGCGACAATCACGCGACAGTATTGGGACAGTATTATGTGTTGATGATGATGGAATTCTCCGTGTTGGGTTTCCTGGAGCATCCAGAGGATGGAAGGCAGACCCAGCAGAGATGGAACGAGTTGAGGAATTCAAGGTTGGAGACTGGGTTCGTATTCGTCCAACCCTTACTTCTGCAAAGCATGGATTAGGATCTGTGACACCAGGAAGCATTGGCATTGTATACTGTATCCGACCAGACAGTAGTCTTTTAATAGAACTGAGCTATCTTCCAAATCCATGGCATTGTGAACCAGAGGAGGTTGAGCATGTTGCTCCTTTTAGAGTAAGACAAATGCAGACAGTTTTCATTCTATGACAGTTTATTTATCTCCTGTCTTTGTTACATGACATGAATTAACAAAAACTGTCTTACAGATTGGTGATCGGGTATGTGTGAAGCGATCTGTTGCAGAACCTAGATATGCTTGGGGTGGTGAGACACATCATAGTGTTGGAAGAATAAGTGAGATTGAGAATGATGGTCTCTTAATAATAGATATACCAAATCGACCCATACCATGGCAAGCTGATCCATCTGACATGGAGAAGGTGGAAGATTTTAAGGTGGCAATTCTTTCAGTTGATGTTGATCATTTGCTACCTATTTTAGTTTGTTCTTGTCATATATTTATTGTGACATATCTTATTATTGGCTATATTTTAATTCTTAATTTGTCGAATGCAGGTTGGAGATTGGGTCAGAGTGAAAGCTTCAGTGTCTTCTCCAAAATATGGATGGGAGGATATTACAAGGAATAGTATTGGGGTAATTCATAGCTTGGAGGAGGATGGTGATATGGGTGTTGCCTTTTGCTTCAGAAGTAAACCTTTTTCTTGCTCCGTCACTGATGTGGAAAAGGTTCCTCCGTTTGAGGTGGGACAAGAAATTCATGTGATGCCATCTGTTACTCAGCCACGGCTTGGGTGGTCAAATGAATCACCAGCTACTGTTGGAAAAATAGTGAGAATCGACATGGATGGTGCTCTCAATGTAAGCTTAGTTTTGTTTTATCTAATATTTTGTGCATGACACTACACCTTGAATGACTTTATAAGTAACATTAATGTCACACTCGTCTTCCATAACTATTGTTCAACTAGACCCTAATATACTCTTCTATGTTTAAGTAGTGATGGACTAAGTTTGGCATGTAAAGCTGATAAAGGTGTATAAACATTGCCTGGGGGATTTTTTCACTTTGTGACGGAAATAAAAGTTTGACAGAATAAGTTTCTAACAGGCCCAGTTGTATCCTGAAATTCAAAGTTTTCTTTCTGTATCTGGGTATGACTGGTTTAAAATTTTAAACTGTCGCCAAACTCAAATTTGAGCCGTGAGTTAACAATTATTATTAATACTACAATATAAAATAAGTTGGCAATTATTGATTGGCCAAGTCTTTCCCCCAAGTAGGATATATTGGGTATAAGAATTTCCCCATCATCACAGCTCTAGCTTCTTCGAAAGTAGCTGCACGGTGATTAATGAACAAGTTTCCAAGTGTATAATCTGGGAATGGTCATTTTTAGAAAACTTAGCATCTCTGCAACCTTAAGATATTGAGCACTGTTATGGGATTAGATTAATTTCATTTAAAACATTTCATTGTGAATGTTATTAGTGATTCCATCCTAAGATTACAAAAAATAAAATGTTATTTTGCTGTTCTCTTTGTAGGTGAGGGTCACTGGTAGGCAGAGCTTGTGGAAAGTTTCTCCTGGAGATGCTGAACGGCTTCCAGGATTTGAAGTTGGGGATTGGGTACGCTCAAAACCAAGCCTGGGAACCAGACCAAGTTATGACTGGAATACTGTTGGGAGAGAGAGTTTAGCTGTTGTGCATAGTGTACAGGATTCTGGATACTTGGAGTTGGCCTGCTGTTTCCGTAAAGGGAAGTGGATCACTCATTATACAGATGTTGAAAAGGTTTCTAGCTTTAAAGTTGGGCAGTATGTCAGGTTCCGAACTGGTTTGGTTGAACCAAGGTGGGGTTGGAGAGGAGCTCAGCCTGAATCTCAAGGGGTCATAACCAGTATTCATGCTGATGGAGAAGTCAGGGTCGCATTCTTTGGATTGCCAGGATTGTGGAGAGGAGATCCTTCAGACCTTGAGATTGAACAAATGTTTGAAGTGGGAGAGTGGGTGAGGTTAAAAGATGATGAAAGTAATTGGAAATCAATTGGGCCAGGTAGTGTTGGTGTCGTTCAAGGAATAGGGTATGAAGGAAATGAATTGGACAGAAGCGTTTTTGTTGGCTTTTGCGGGGAGCAAGAAAAGTGGGTAGGACCAAGTTCCCATCTTGAAAGATTTGACAAACTCTTTGTTGGACAGAAGGTTAGAGTCAAACAATATGTAAGGCAACCGAGATTTGGATGGTCAGGGCACACCCATGCTAGTGTTGGGACTATACAAGCAATTGATGCTGATGGAAAGCTTCGAATATACACTCCAGCTGGATCCAAAGCATGGATGTTGGATCCATCAGAAGTGGAGGTGGTAGCAGAGGAGCAGCTCTCTATTGGCGACTGGGTAAGGGTTAAAGCATCAGTATCAACCCCAACCCACCATTGGGGGGAAGTGAGTCACTCAAGCATTGGGGTGGTGCATCGGATGGAAGATGAGGATCTGTGGGTGGCATTCTGTTTTATGGAGAGGAGGCTATGGCTTTGCAAAGCATGGGAAATGGAACGGGTTAGGCCATTTAAAGTGGGGGACAAGGTAAGGATCAAAGAAGGACTGGTGACCCCACGATGGGGATGGGGAATGGAAACACATGCCAGCAAGGGACAGGTTGTAGGGGTAGACGCAAATGGAAAACTAAGAATAAAATTTCGGTGGAGGGAAGGTAGGCCCTGGATAGGAGACCCTGCTGATCTTGCCCTTGATGAGAACTGATGTGCTATTTTAGGAAACATGGAAGCTTGTATCATAACTTAATTTTCATATTCAGCTCTTTAGCCTATGTTTTTCTGGGCCTGAGCTTGTGCTAAGGAAGTGGAAAGCTTTATGTGCTTACCACATGCTCTGATGAAGGTATAACTCCATTGTGAAGGTTGAAATGCAGTTTGGCCGCATGTATTGGTGTTAATAAACAGAGTGAAAAAAGAATTGAAGCCATGGAGATAGGAAAATCGGCTTGCTGACCGAGTGTGGAGATTTAAAGGCAGCTAAAACAAATATTGGCAGTTGGCCCATTTATATTCATTACTCACAAGTTTGTAGTCCCAGATTTTGAGGTGCATATCATATATATGTTTATTTCATATTATTGTACAAATTGTACTCAACAGTCAACTTAATGCATTTTTTTGACTCACCAATATGCAGTTGCATAATTCTTGAATAGAATTGATTCTATTATACAGCGTTTGTGCATTATGACCCCACTGTTTATGATTTGACAAAACGTGATTATAGTTGAGCATTTATGATCCAATCTGTGTTCCAATTCATGACTAGATCTCACTGTTGTAATTGGAGACTGAGCTGGGTGAAAACTTGCGATATTTAACCTCTATATATATGCTCGCAGCTTCGAAAATTAATTAATAAATCAATAAGATCTTGGTCTATTTTCATCCGGCATAAGGTGACCCAATTCTTTTATTTTTATGAAAAGAATTATTTTTCCTCATGAATTTTATGAAGCAACAGTGAAAATTAAAGGAAAATCATATATGGATAAATGCCGCAGGGAAACATAAATAAGTACGCATTTAGCCAACAATTGCAAGAAGAATGTCGCTTCATTTCTAAGGGCATGATACGAACCTAGATACATTCCTTATAAGAGTTTCAAATAAGGGGAAAAAAAGATGCAGGGAGTTAAATTAGTATGTGATCGAAGTATATAATTCAATATTAATATTAATTACTCTGCATCAAAAAGCCAGATCAATCCAGAGACTTGAAATGGTAACTACATTATCCTGATCAGAAATATCCTTTCCTAAAATAAATGTTACTAATCCTTTTTATCATTGCCCCCTACAAGTGAGTAGTCAGCATATCAGTTCGATCTTGATTGTCCCTTGCATTCACTAACTTATCCTCATGCCATTTAGAGAAGCATTGCAGGGCATCCCTCATCCATGCATGCCGGCAACTTGCTAGTGCTTCTGTTACAGCCAACCAACTCCTATTCCTGGTGCTTTTCTCAGGCCACGAGTCTAGTTCCTCCTTGACAAACAAGGCAAACATTGCTGCTTTACATAGACCTTTTGGACTGAACTCATCTTGGTGAGTCTTACTCCTAAATTCATAGTACCCTAGAAAATCCTGACACCAAGTATCCACAAGTATAAACCATTGGTTTGCATGCATCCATCCAAATAAAAATATTAAAAAGCAACGTAAAAATTACCTAGAAGCCTTGTGTTTAGTTAAATTGAACAGAACAAAGGGACTATGGGGTTTCAAGGGACAGCAATTTAAGAGTGAAAGGTTAAAAAACGTGCCAACACGTGGCTTATATCAAAACCATGTAACACCACTGAATTTTGCTTAAATCTGAAGTGCCAGCAAACGAGACAATTATGTGATAATATTCCATACTATTTCAGGTACAAATTTCATTAACATACTCCCGAATTTTTACTCCTTAGATGTTAATGTGGCTTCAACTGGTTGCACATACAAAGTTAGCTCAAATAGTTTTTTTGGCAAAATTTGACTGCCGTCATCAACTGTCACAACTGACCGGCAACTTATGACATGAGAACATGATTTGGTTTTCACATAAGCTTCCTAGACTCCTCCAAGAAAATCAAGCGCAGGTAATACAACACAATGTTATAGAAGATAAAATGTTAAACTCATATGTGAAGAAGCTTTTCACCATTAGTTCTCCTCGAACTCCTGCTTCTTCAATAGCTTCTCTTACAGCAGCCTCCTCAACAGTTTCATCATTCTCCCACCCTCCCTTCGATAGTGAAACAAAATCACAATAAAAATAAAAAATAAAAATCAGATCTCAATTCAGGAGCCATTCGAAAAAGAATTTCCAGCAGATGTGAACCACAATTTACAGAAACATATCCATGCTATGAAGCTGCCAGCCATTATTGTGACGTAAAAAATCTTTTCAACAGCATATTGAACAGCTTAATAAAGGTGTCACGTCAATACATTCAGTATAGGTTGTTGCAACAAATTTATAATAGTGTTCGAGTTATTCAAGTGCCGAGATTTGGCCTTTCAGTGCAATATAAGGTACTTAATTTGTTGTATTATTTAAATTAGGATGATGTAATTTCTGAACTGAACCTTATTCACTTGGAATCCTCTTTCAAATTAGAGTAGAGAAATTCACTTATTTCTGTAACGTATCAAAAATTTCCTTTTTCTATCCGCAAATTTTAAAAAAGTACTCATTTTCAAAAGTCACGATTCATTATCATCCTATTTAGACATGAATAAAAAAATTTCTGAAGTCGAACAACTTAAGTTATCCTTTTAAAACAAGTCCCAATGAAAAATCTCAGGTCAAAGCTACAGGAACATTGAAGCTCTCCTTAAAGATAGGCCAAAAGCTTTTAGGCTAAAGCTGGGTGGATTCTCTTGGAAACAGGCACATTTATAAGGTGAACTTAAACTATTCGTACACATAATAACTGTCTTATTGGATATTTAAATATGTGAAATAGTACGTTACAAGAAGCCATTATGATTAGTATCAAATGCACAATAAGTCAATAACAAATTAACAACCAATGACTACTTTGAAATACCAAAAGAGCAATAATTGAAACAAACGACATTACTGTTGCCCAATACAGTGTTAATGGGAATCCTAAATGACCATTGTAGTTTTGACATTACTGTAGGATTGTCTTACAAAGATACACACAAATCTTATACCCACAATGACAGGTTTTAGGGTCCACTAGTTATAGGGAAAAGTAATTGTGTTGATATGATATGTCTCTAATAAGACCCTATCCTGTTTGATCCAAACCCAAATAGGTTTGAAATTTTTATGGTAACAACGGTATAAACTACATGAACACGAAGCTGATGCAAAGTTACACCAGGATGTGCACTAGGGGGCCATTATAATTCCTGTTCCTAACAATGAAAAGAATTTGGGGGAGCAGGGGTAGTCTAAAATCATCCAAAACAAAAACGTTCAAATATCATAAGAATTAAATAATAATTTCTTCTGCATTACAGCTGTTAATAGAAACCACATTAGCAAGTGCAGTACACTATTAATAACAATAAAAACATCATACCTTTGGAAACAAAAGACCTGGACCACTGGGTGAATTAATCATAAGCACTTCAACAATCTTCTTAGAACAAGAGTCCCTACAGTCATCACCATCTTTGTACCTAAATGGAACACACCTGCAACCCAATTAGCATCAACAGATCAGATGGATCTCAAAGTATAAAAATCCAATTTTTCAAACTTCAAGTAATTCCCAGCTACTAAAAGGGCAATAAATTTGGATGACAAACATCTCCCAATTCTTCAAAATCAACCATATTCATGAAAATCTGACAAGCCATGTTGTCCAGATTATTTACTATTCAATCTACATAAAATTTTGAATCCCAATCCCCAAGAAAGAAATCTTAAAGTCACCAGGACTCCAAAACATATTCCAAGATGAAGACTACAAACTACATTCAAGTCATTACATTGTTCTTGCAGAACTTTAGGGAGACACTGTGTGAATTAGAAATAACAAAAAAACATGGACTAGAAAAGAAGTCAAGGTATCAAAGAATCATGCGATGGCTGTCGCATGATTTGAAAGGTGTATATAAGGTATCAAATAAAGACGGTCGTAACTTGTAACTGCAATTGCAACAGTAATACAAGGTTTGAAAAGTGTGTGCAGCCGCATTACAATCGTGTCATAAGCTACATTTTGGTGGGTTTTGCAGTTACTTCCTAAATAAAAGAAAAGGCGAAACGGATCAGATTAAAGAACCGACCCGGCAATAAGGCGATAACCGTGTTCATATCGTTGCTGATGCCGACCCGTTCGAGCCACCAATTCAGCCATCGTAAATAACAAACAACAACAACTCTCTCCCTCTCTCTCTCTCTCTCTCTTTCTATTTCAATCACAAAACGAAACTATCTTCTTTCGCCATAATAGGATCACAATGCTCACGGCCGCACCAGATTCCTTCCCATGCAACGACGGTCCACGATGCCGCGTTGCATCACCCTAGCCAGCAACCCCAACGGCACCCCTGCCCCCTCGCCATTGTCGTTTTAGGGTTCAATTGCAGAGCGCGCGCGAGAGAGAGAGAGACAGACAGACAGACAGAGACAGAGAAAACTCAGCTGAAAATCATGAAAAATGCAAATGCATGTTCGGTTTGGTTTGGTTTGGTTTAGAGAGAGAGAGAGAAAGAAGCGGAACATGAAGCGATTGTAACGGATCGGATCAGAACTGTCATGGCCACGTGGATTGTCCTCAGTGCATGGGTCCCACTCACAGGGACACTCTCCTGCTGAGTTCTCTCCATCAAGAACCATTCACTTGGCGTGCGTCTACCCTTACGATTTGGACACGTGGATGGTTGGGTTTTAGAAGGGTTTCGTTGGTAGGGGATGTAGAGGAACACGGTGAGGGCGAAGTAGGTGATTGTGAAGAGGTCAGCGGATCTGGGGGTTGAAGGGGTAATTGAAAATCACGATTTTGTGGGCCCTGTCGTCGAAGCTGCTTAATTTCCTTCCATCTATTCAATAATCATCCCACCGCTGTAATTCTTTCCAGTTACTTTTTCAATAATTTCAAATAACTCTTAAATCAATTAATTCATAAGTTTTTTTATATTGTATATATATCGTTGATTTAAAATATTTTTTAAATAAAAATTTAAATTATTTTCAATTTAAAATTTTTTAAAATTTTATTTAGATTTTGTGTTTAAGAAAAAAATTAAAAAAAATAATGATCATTACTCTTAAAAGTTAATTAAACACAAAAGAGAGAGTTAAACCCTTTAAATCTGTTTTAAATCCTTTATACTGGAAGAGTTTATTATTTATATTTCTATTTATTAGATTAAATATTTAGTATAATATAGAATAAAATAGTAAACAATAAAAAATATTTTTTTTCAAAAAATATTAATATTTATAGTAATAATTTAAAAAAAAATTGTAAATATATTAATTTTTAATGAGAAAAATTATTTTATTTTTTTATTTTTTTAAATATATATATAAATAAATAATAAAAAAGTAAAATAATATATTTACATGTTAAACCTTTTCTTACATTTTTTTTTTCTAATATAAACATATAATAAGGGTAGAGTTTAACTCTCTTTTCCTTCTTCTCCTCTCTTAAGTCTTTTAAATTATTTTTTTTAACTTTCAAATAAAATCTAAAAGAATTAATATTTAAAATATTAATAAATAGATCATCAAAATTTTAAAATAAAATCTCTAAATTTAGATTAAATTAATCTCAACGATAAAAGCTCAACTTTTTGCCTCACTCCATCCATCGTTTTACCTACACTGAAAAATTAAAACAAAAAAAAGGACGACGAATGAGAAAAAAAATAGAAATGCTATCATCAGAATAAATTAGAGAATTTTTTTTATTTTAGGATTTCGACTCTAAAATAATTTAGTACCAATATTTTGTTATCATGTCACTCAAGCGTGATGGCATGTGACCCTGTTATTTAGCATTCAACATACTAAATCAACTTAGGAACTAAACTGACTATGATAATTGATATGATATATTAATTAGTAGACTTTTTGAATTACTTTAAAAAGCAATGCTGGCTAAAATAAAAGTTTTGTTACATATTGGATAAATATATTTTTATGAGAAAATATGTATTTTTATTTTATGAGAGAATATAATATATTAAAAATTTTGTTAATTTAAGTATCAAGTTGTATAATACTAACAGTACATATAATTTTTTTCTTAAATTATAATATCTAGTAATGAGGAAAAAAATGAAAAATAAAATTCTAAATAGGATAAACTAACAAATATATTAACTTTTTAAAATCCTTTTCATAAAAAAGATTTTTTTAAACCAACTAAAAGTTTGGGCAATTAAAACAATGTTTATCTTATATAACCATGGAACTACATAAACAAAAAGGAAAATAGGTAATTTGCATAGAATTTGCTATATTAATAATTTTTTAAATACTAAATAATTAATATCATGACAGCTCAAAAATATATCCAATTAACCAGACACAAATAATATTTTATCTATGACAGTAAAACACTTCGATTAGATTAGCAAGTGATTTTAAGTTTTATTTTTTATTAATACAACTTTGTCAAATATTTAAAATATATATATTTATTGCTCATAATAATTTTAGTAATACCATATGATGACACCTGTTATATATTTTTACTTTGAATTAATTATAAATGTTAAAACAGCACGAGAGTTTCAACCAAAAGCATTTGAAAGTAGATAATTTCAATGGAAATCCGTGATGGATGTTGGGAACCAACTATTTCTTTCCTCAATGGCTAAATCTACCATGCAATAATTGTTATAATTCCTTCTCCAAATCATGTAATACAAAGCCAAACTACAAAAGTAATAAATAAACAGGAAACATAATAAAAAAATTTAAAAAACAAATTTTAAATTATTCAAATTAAAAAAATTCAAATATGTGTAACCAAGTAACCATTGTATGAAAGAACAACACAAGTAACTTTAATCCAAAAAATTAATATAATTTTTTCTCACTTAATCGTTCTCTTTACAATTAGTATTGTAATTATTTTCTCCTTCTTATTTTTTTTTCTAATCAAAGGAGTTAAAAGCTCAAACAAATCAAAATAAAGTCACAGACATGATCTAGAAATTCAAATGTCAAAAGAATTGAGGTAAAGAAAAAGAATTAAAGAAGGAGTAGAATAAAGTCTATAAGTGACAAATTTTCATATAAGCCTAATTTGGCCAAATAGTTAGCACACTTAATGGTCTCTCTACAAACATGGCCAAATCTAATAAATTGGAACTGTTTGATAGGGATGAGCACAACTTATTCTTTGTTATCTTTAATTGATATAATTAAACATAATTAATAAAAATTGACTTATTTAATTATTATTTAAGAAAATATTAAAAAATTATTAATATAAAAAAGTTTAAGAACAAATTCAAAAAGATGATAATAAAGTAAGATACTAATTTACCTAAAAAAAATTGATATTATTATGATATTTCATATAAAATAATCTAAATCATATGAATTACATTAAAAATAATATGTGTGGGACATGAATAACTAACAACTATTTGTGTAATTATTATAGTAAAAGTTGAAAAATTTAAAAGTAGACAAAAAAAATATTAGGAATCAAGAAGGAAATAGAAAACTAAGAAAAAGAAAATAAAATAGTTAAATATTGAATAATTAAAAAACTAATAATTATGTTGTCAAAATTTTATTTTAAAGTGACAAAAAAATAAATTTATTCATGATAGATTAATAGAATAATTTTAAAAATTAAAATTAAAAATACATAAACAATTTTAATATATTAACTTTAATATTGTAAAAATTTATTTTATTAGAAGAATATGAATGTATTTTTTAATAAGTTAAATAAAAAAGAAAGAAAAAGTAAATTACCTTTTTCTCGCTTAAAAAACACATATTGTACACTATTCTTTTATCTATTTTAAAATTATATAACTCTCCCTTTGAAACTTAAAAATGTATCATGATTTAATCAAATTTATATTTTTTATTAAAGTATTATTTTTTTATTAAATTTTACACTTTTTTTCTAAATAGGATTAAAATATTAACTTTTAACGCTGATTAACAAGATGGGTCAAGCCAGCTCATTATAACTCAATCTAATAATAATAATCATAAAACTATATTCACTAATAACTGTAAAGTTATTATAAATAAGCCTATTGAACAATAATTATTTATAATATAGGCTCAACAACATAATTCAATATTTTGACATCAAATTAATCTATAATTAAATTAAAATTATAAAAAAATTAATTTATGTCAGTCCACACATAAACATCTGAAAGTTATAGGAGTAGTTTTCTCCTTATTTATATGTTTTTCCTCATTGATCAAGTAAGCACTTATTGATGAACTTATTAATATGTAATTTTAACACCTAATCCTATTATAACATTTGTTTATCATTTGTCATATTGAGAATTGGATTCTAATTTTCCTTCAAGTGGTATCAAAGCCTGTCTAGTTTTGATATGTTGATGATATTACAGTTGTTAGAGAATGTATATTCATACATACAATCAGCTCTAATAGATTAATTTAAGATTTTGAGTTTTCTTTGATTAATCTCGAAATTGATTTGGAACTTTTGTTACTGGTAATATTGTGAACAAATCAACATAAAAATCATGTGAAGCATATTAGTGTATAAAGAGAATTTTAGTTTTGAAATTATGAACCCTAACTTTTGAATCCAATTCAAATTTGAAAAACTCCAACCCATAAGTTTGTTAATGTGTTTCAATTCCTTAGGATTTTTATAAATAGAAAGTTTCAAATCTTTTAACACCAAAATCGTGAGTTCTTATCAAGTATTGAGGGAGAAATCGTGAAAAACCTCAAACTACCCATTCTTTTGTGTGGAGTTATCTAAAATGTTAGAGACTATGATTTGAAATAAAATTACACCGATTTTGTAGAGCATTGAAAAAGAGAATCCATAGACATTTGATTGATTTTAGTTATTACTTTGTAATCTTGTGTATGCTTATATTTTAAGATGATGTGTTTAGGGTTATAGGGTACAAAATTTGTTGCTTTTATGTGTAAGAACTATGTTTTCGACTCTTTTATATGAGTTTCAAACTGATTTTTCAATTTTGTTGTCCAAGTGTTGAATTTAATTTGGCTTTACACCATGAATTTGTGGTTTATGCTTGGTCACTATTAATCTTTATTTTATTTTTTTCCTGTTTATTTTATTTCTCACAATTGTGCTTGCCTTTGCGAAAAGGATTGTGATAAAATATTATTGCATGAAAATTGTTGATATTAATGTAACATTGGAAATTATTTTAATAATGGACTTACCCTATCAGCAATATTATCAATGGTGGATGGCGAAAACCTAAAAAAATGTCATAAAGTTATAGCAACAAGTTATAGCAGATTTATGGCAAATATAATAAAATATATAAAAAATATTATAAGTCACAGGAAATGATACAATAGAATTAACTTAAAATATATGTAGCATAAACCACAATCC